CATACCTCCGTCGCCTTCCCCTCCCTCTCCCTTGCCACCGTCGCCTACCCCTCCATCTCCTTCGCCTCCCTCTCCCTCACCTCCCTCTCCCTCGCCTCCATCTCCCTCGCCTCCATCTCCTTCGCCTCCATCTCCCTCGCCTCCATCTCCCTCGCCTCCCTCTCCCTCACCTCCCTCTCCCTCGCCTCCATCTCCCTCGCCTCCATCTCCCTCGCCTCCATCTCCCTCGCCTCCATCTCCCTCGCCTCCATCTCCCTCGCCTCCATCTCCCTCGCCTCCATCTCCCTCGCCTCCCTCTCCCTCGCCTCCATCTCCCTCGCCTCCCTCTCCCTCGCCTCCATCTCCCTCGCCTCCATCTCCCTCGCCTCCATCTCCCTCGCCTCCATCTCCCTCGCCTCCATCTCCCTCGCCTCCATCTCCCTCGCCTCCTTCCCCCTCGCCTCCTTCCCCCTCGCCTCCTTCCCCCTCGCCTCCGTCGCCTTCCCCTCCTTCGCCCTCGCCTCCGTCTCCCCCTGATGTCCCTCCATGTAGCACATGCTTCGACTTAGAAGTGGAGGTATCCAGCGCCCCGTTCAGCTTCTTCACAATCGACAACGACAAATGCCAGGCTGTTCAGGCTCAGATCGCATCCGACTTCGTCAGCCAGATAGCATTCATGGGCCTTCCGCCCATGGTGGTCAACTTTACAGTGGATCCTACCCGCTGCCAGCCTACCAAAGTCAGCGTCTGCGGTTCGTTCGTTTCCCAGGAGGAAGCCAGGAAGCTGGAGCCCTGGGCCGCCCTCCAGAGCCCGTTTTGGTTGGACAGCCTGGTCGGCCAGTGCAATGCAGTGAACTCTGGGCTCAGCTTCCTCTTGCGGAGTGAGACGGATAACTGCCTGAAAGTGATTACGGAAAAAACGGACTGCAAGGACACCGTGAATGTCACCTTCCCGCCTTGCAAGTACGTATGCCGTATACGTACACAGGACTTTTCAGAAACCATGGCATGCACTGCTCGGAGTGAGCGACGCTATACTGTACCCTGACTGCCTTGGAGTTTGACAGGCATTCTGTTGTTGGATTAAAAGATTTATGTCTTCTCTTCGCGCACAGGTGCGATAACCGGAAGTACGCTACGCCCTTCTACGTGGTTCCCACACCGGCGACACAAGAGCCAGGTCGCGACCCGTGGACCAACTTGTACTGCTTCAAGACGAAGGTCGCCCCCAAGGAATCTGTTATCGCGGTGAGGTCTGAGGCCTTAACCCCCCCGGGCCCCTGCGTTACCGTGGCCCGGGGGTTGTGGGTTTCCGTGTCCTTTCCTAAGCACCTTCCACGCATTAGCAAGCGATTTATGCAGCATCCATTCTTGTGCTGGCAGGATCGCCTGCTGCTCCCTGATTTCCAGGAAAAGCACTTGCGCGTGTCATCAAACTCGGTGTACTCCTTCCTCTGCCACAAGCCGCGTCCCGTGTATGCTTGTAGGGCCCATGCAACAGCAGCTCGACCCTCCATAAGGCAGAGATTTGGGCCGGTAAGTAGTTTGAAGCTGCGTGGGCTTTGGCGGGTGCGGGGAGCTTGGTGGCTGTCACGTCAGGTCTTAGCCTAGCACTGTCTATGCCCCTTTACGGACAGTGCTACATGCACGACATTAGTCGGCCGCTGGACGTCTAAGCAACAGCGGGTGGCATGCGAGTCAATCCACCCATACATACTGTTGAGTGTGTCGTATCTCCCTTGCCTTGCTTGCAGATATGTCTCTTCGGCGCCAAGTCCGCGGCTTCCGGCTGACTCCTTCCGGCGGCACTCCCCGTTGGGCATCCACATCGTGGGGGCCTTCGGGGGCCAACCAGCTCAAAGGTGACTGAGCGTGTGTCTAGGCTTACATACAGGCGCGTGTGGCATTCGCGGATGATGTGCGCGTAGTAGTAATTGCATAGAGTGCACATTGGGAATGTGCATTTGAGGGCTCGTTAGGCGACGACGTAACAGAACTGACATCGTGGCCCCAAACCCCACCACCTTTGAACGTCGTGCATGCAGCGACAAACATCAACTGGAGCTCGTCTGCGGCGCAAGGCGGCGAGATTTGCATTGAGCTGAAGAACACCACGACGCTGTCACAGCTGTGCCTGGGCGATCGACCAAACACTGCGTGGTGAGCGAGCCAGGGCCCCCTTGCGGCGTGTGATTGTATTGTCATGTCATGTGTAGCGTGGTTTTAAAGACCCATGCGCCATGCGTTGCGAGGAGTGAGTCCGTTCTTTGGTGGTTAGGTAAATAATTGGGGGCGCGCGCAGGCTACACGCACACACTTTAGCTTATGCAAATAATTGCTTCTGCGCCATGCTATCGGTTCACCGCCTCACCCTGTTGACCCCCATTCAAGTTTTGTGCATATGTACATGTACATGTACATCGGCGCATAGCATACATGTATAAATAGTTATTATGAGCCACGTCTGCTGACTCACGGTTACGTATGCATGATACCTGCTGACACATCCCCTCGCATCCCTTTCTTGTCCCGCACGCACTCGTGTGGATCTACACCTGCTGTCTGGACGTTCTTGTCGTGTGTCGTCGTACACGATGGCCGATGGATTGACCGTACGATGATATGCCGTACACACAGTGTAATCAGTTTGTTCAACAAGAACCGGAAGTGCTGCCCGACCTACACCGCTGCGGTATCGTAGTGCTTGGTTCCTCGCTGTGTCAAAACAGCTATCGAATAACGCGTC